CTTCTGTATTATATCCCACATTCACTGTTATTGGTACTGCTGCGTTGGCACCCTGCTTCTTCGAGAATGAGAGATAAACATAATATACAAAATGTTTTGATTGATTTTCATTGATTTTCTTCTTCTATTCCCGCTGTTTTCATTCCCTGTATCAATCGCAGGATACTTGAAGATCGGGTGAAATGTGCTGGGGATGTGAAACGACGCTTCTACAAATTGATTTCTCCGGAATTCTTGCATGAATTGAAAGATTACTATTATTATTCAATGATTCGAACTCAGGGATTACGCTGCCTCGAAACACGGCAGACGTCAATGACTATTCCAATCACCGAAATCCCCTATGTGATGCGTGCGATTGGTTATTATCCATCCGAGGAAGATGTGAGTTCCGTGTAGCAGTCACGGATTTTTACCGGGCATCTATCAGTTATTTGGACCCCTCACCCAGTTTGCAGGCTTATCAGTGGGATCCAAATTGTCAGTGTTTGATACAAATGATAGATTTCAGCCCTCTTTAATCGAAAGATTAAATCACGATCCCGGTCTCAACTCCTGCTACATACTGTGCGACGTTTCATTCAAAAAAACTTGGTTTTCAGTTTCGGTTTGTATAACCATTAACCATGCACCTTTGTGCACCGGTTTTGGGTTGCTGTCCTTTGGCCTCTCAATTAGATGAACAATAGGAGAAAGACATGGAGGTCGAAAGTGGAATCGAGGAGAAAATAGGGAATTTCAGTGGATTAATGTTGCAATAAAATCGAGATGAAGCACGAAGGCCACTGTTTACGACATTCAGCCATATTACTCAGTGTCTCTAGCCATTGGTTACGAACATCCCGAGATCCCCATCCAGGGAGCCTAACGGAACCTGTGACCCAGCCATAGTTAAGGTTGCAAAAATCAATTGAAAAGCAAAAACTGTGTGCACCCAATTTTACAAAACCTCAAAATTGTGATTATCTTAACAACTTTAAGAGAATTCTACGGTTGTTGTCTTGTTGCATTTCAACATGGTGCGTACTGCAGAAAATACAATGTTTATATAGGGTTTTAGCATAGCAACAGAGTGAGGCAAAAT